ATTTTTTTCAATTTCAAATGTTGCCGATTATTCACGAGGTTGTAAATTTCGTATAAGAAGTCGAGTAACGTTACCAACATTAGCAGTTCTATTTTATAACTTTTGTTTTTTTTCACGCATTACATTGAATAACAGGATGTTTACAATGTTAATTGAGAAAGAAGTGCCTTACGCGTGACAAAAAAGGTTGCAAATTGCAGCAATGTTCAATAACAGTACTCTGAATTTCCTAGCGAGTTTGCACTACTTTTGGAATTTTTGACATCAACTTCTAAACAATATTATTTAATTAACGATAATTGTCATATTGCGCCGTCCTAAATTGGTTGCAAATTTGATAGGTTGTTTGGAGTCGTATGATGAGATCGGAATTGGATTTGCAAAAGTTTTGTAATATTTCTCAAGGAGTTATATTCAAAAGTATTGTTTATAAAAAATTTCACATGTTGTAGGCTGTGGAAATGNGACGAGAAAAGACGAAAATTTCAGTTTTTTAATTATCAAAATCGGATGCTCCATTCAGAAGTAATGATTTTTTGAAAATTTCACGTTTCGTAATGATTATCTCAGAAACAAAAAGTGGCAGGGCAATGAAATTTTGGATGATCACTGGCTATATGTAGTAGTTCAAAATGCACCTACTCAATGATTTTTCCCAGACAAAAAAAAATCCGGTGTGGCTGAGTTGACATGCAATGTCCCATATAGGGGAAAGGGTTCCCAACATCTTCCCATGTTTGCAAGACTTTTGATTATATCTCCGCAGTTTAAAAAATCGAAAAATACAATAATTGTTATTTTTTCTTATTCCAAATGTTACCGATGATTCACAAGCTTGCAAATTTAAAATCACCTAGTGACAAGGGTTTTTAACACTCTCCTATATTTGCAGAACTTTTAAATAATTCTCCTAAATAAAAAATTGTTGAGAATTACAATCATTGTTATTTTTTTCAATTTCAAATGTTGCCGATTATTCACGAGGTTGTAAATTTCGTATAAGAAGTCGAGTAACGTTACCAACATTAGCAGTTCTATTTTATAACTTTTGTTTTTTTTCACGCATTACATTGAATAACAGGATGTTTACAATGTTAATTGAGAAAGAAGTGCCTTACGCGTGACAAAAAAGGTTGCAAATTGCAGCAATGTTCAATAACAGTACTCTGAATTTCCTAGCGAGTTTGCACTACTTTTGGAATTTTTGACATCAACTTCTAAACAATATTATTTAATTAACGATAATTGTCATATTGCGCCGTCCTAAATTGGTTGCAAATTTGATAGGTTGTTTGGAGTCGTATGATGAGATCGGAATTGGATTTGCAAAAGTTTTGTAATATTTCTCAAGGAGTTATATTCAAAAGTATTGTTTATAAAAAATTTCACATGTTGTAGGCTGTGGAAATGGTTGCAAATATAACCTTATCGTTTGTACAACCTACCCTATCGTGTCACAAAATTTCGAAACTTTTGGATTTAATGTTGATTTTTTTGCTAAATTAACTGGACTAGAGAGGGACCGGTTGTGGGGGGCCCTGCCGTGGCTTGATGACGGAACTGGGTATAAGTGCCACCGGGTGGTTAGCCTGACACCACCATGGCTATTGCGGACATGCCGGGCGATGGGTTCGCCACGCCTTATTATCATTCCCTCCGTACGCCTTATCATTATTATTATTATTATTTTTTTGAGATTCCCGTGCGGAATTCTCCAAAGTCACTCAGGAAGAAGTCAAGCTGCATTAATAAGCATGAGGAACCATGCCGCTCCGGAGCGTGATGGCATCAACGGCTTCTGATGGAACAGATTTACCTCTGTGCATGGCCATCTGGCTCGGATATTCAAGGCGTTTATCGAGGGCAGTGAGCCTATTCCTGTGTGGTTGACAACGTTCACTTGGCGTAAAAATTCGATTTTGCCGAAAGTCGACGTTCCCCCTGGAAAAATCTAAGATACCCCACCCCCTTGGCCGCGGGTGAAAATTCAAATCTTTTATTTCGACATATCTGGCGCCTCCGAATGTTTCATTGGCATTAGAATCGTTAGTAGATACGGAATCAACGTTCACTTGCCGTAAAAATTCGATTTTGCCGAAAGTACTTTACCCGTGGACAAATCCAAGATACCCCTTCGGGGTTGTAGCTCTAACCATCGCAGCACAACTCGTCACACAGACAATCCATCACACGACAACTCAACACAGTCTACAGTTCCCAATGGTTACAATGGGTCTCCACCTTTCTTACCAAGTTGACATATCCGGCTTCTCCGAGTGTTTCATTGACATTAGAATCGTTAGTAGATACGGAATCAACGCTCACTTGGCATAAAAATTCGATTTTGCCGAAACACACGAAATCGAGAAAATTCGACCACAATATCGTAAAAAGGCCTCAATTCTGTCACAGAAAATTCAGAAAATTCATTCATAACTGAGACATGAGCATACACACACACACACGCACTCAGTTTTTTTGCAAATGTCAGGGAACAATTCTGGGAGTCACAGAATGGACTCATAGAGTGCAAGAATATTTTTTCAATACTACTCTTTTCGAATGATTTCTATTGAATTCCTATACCGAACAAACGAATTGGGAAATTCTTAGTGCGGTCCGAACGGGTTACCCTCACTTCAACGCACCCAAATTCAGTCGCGAACGACCAACAATCCAATGATTCATTCAATAATTGAGACGCTACGTCATTTCTTATTTATGTTGTAATTTGAAACTATCTTTCCTATGTGAAATCTCGAGACAATATAGATATCTACATTGCAGCGTTAACTACTGTTTTTGATGCATTTCTTGTCGGATAAAAGCTCCGTGACATGTCTCTACCTCAACTTACCCTTCTCGCCATAACTGACCCCCTGAGCAGCGCGAGCATCCTGTCACCTTTCCCTTGGCCCCTTTAGCTTCAAGTTTTTGTACGTTTCTAGTGGATTCTTGGCTTTCGTTGTATCCTTCCGCTTCGAAATAATTTCGGTTTATTGCTTCCGTCGATACAATAAACCACTGGCGCCCACATTCATCGAGTTTTCTTCAGTTTTGATATCACCAAGAGAAAAGGGCGAGATAACGTCAATTTTTATCCCCAGTAAACATTGACCACGTTACAATCTTTACAATTCTGAAAAAATGTTATATACCAGAAATTGTGTGCTTTTTCATATCGAACATTTTCATCAAGTGGAGAACTGTAGCAGCCACATAGAGGAAAATAGAATCCTCATCAAGCGTTCGGCGAAGCTGTAAGCGGCATTTCCGACAGTACTCACCGTCGTAAGTTTCAAATATTGTCGTAAATCATTGCCATAGAGAAAAAAGTTTCGAATGAAAATTATTTGTCGAAAACGCCTTAAATTGAATAATTCCATACGGTAATTTTCAATTTTGTCGCGGGAAAGGGCCATTGGAGATGTTGTTCCTTGTTTGCATTAGATTATTGCGGTAACCATTAGAGAGTTATGAAAAATTATCATATAACAAAAGTTATGCACAGAGAGAAATATTCAATAAAAATTACGTATCTTTTCCGTAATTCCGGAGCAAAATGTGGTTGTAGGAAATTTTACGAAACTGTCATGGAATTTTTCTAGAGCGTTCTGTAATGTTTATCTGAGATCAGCTGTGCGTGCTACGCACGCGGCCTTCTGATCTCCTCAGGTAGTGGCGCTTCGGTTTCAGTCTTACGCTTACGCTTATTCGAGATTTTCGAGATATTTCGAGATCGATTTCCTTTCCCCTTTTTACGATAGGATCTCCTGTGAAAAATTACAATACTGTTACTTACATTTTCTCAGTCGATTCCGTAATCGGTAAGCGAATTGTGATTTCCATAATTTGTACTGAACATTTCTCTCCGTGTGTTTTTGAATAACGAACATTTTTTATTTCAATAGTTTTTCTCCATCTGCAATCATTTTTACTGTAGCGTGGGCACAGTGCGTGGCGGGCCGTGCGCGCCTTTGTGTGCTCCGCGAGTGCTTTTAAAGGTGATATCCAGTGTTACCAGATCGTGACGTCACCCCATTTAAAATTGTACAGGTTTTGGTTATAAATTGCCAAAATCTGGCACCCCTGCTGATATCTTGATAGCTATGATAGATAGCAAGAAAAGTATAGTACAAAATATAGATATTTTTCGACGAGGAATATTTTTTGTTTGAAACATTTTTCCGTAATTCTAACAGTTTTTGCGTAGTATTACTATATTTAACAATCATTATATTTCACTGTTTTTGCACATTTCGCAAAAACAATTATCAGATTCCTGATCAGCGACCTCGAAAATATAAAATTCCATAATAAAATTATGGACCTCAGATCGGACACAGAACATGTCACGGACTAATTTCACCATATTCGGATATAGACCCTTGAATAAATTACTCTGAGAAAAATTTCAATGGTAATTTTAACGATAAGGGAATTGTCAAAGAAATTATATTTACAGCAACAATAACCTTTGTAGATTTAACTAGGATTCATCGTTCGATTTACTATATCAAATAGTGTCATCAACATTATGATGTAATTTTCACTTTAATGTAATAGTTGAATCTACAATGTTTATTGTTACGGTAACTGTTATTTTTTTGACAATTCCCTTGTAGTTGTAATTACCATTGAAATTTCTCTCAGTGTACTTGTTTTCCACTCGAGAATGTCATCACAACAACAAAAAACACCTCAATTTATTTCAGTGTCTCGCGATGGAGCAGCATCCTTTATATCTCATGTTGCCCGCGACCATGTGTTGTTCCCATGCCTTCCGATTTCCAGTTGGTACACCCCCAAACGCCATTGTTTCCGACGCTGGACATATTCCTATCAAGAGCATGATCATCGGAGGCTGTATACCAGCTATGTATAGTTTCCTATCACTGATCATAATATTCTCAACATGGGGGATTTATGTTTATGAAATTGATGATTTCCCTGAATGGGCTACAACTCCCAGCGACACCAGTAACGGTCAATGCCATTGATTAATTATGTCAATAAAATATATATTATTCTCCAAGATTCTTTGTACAATTTATTGAACTCATTCTATGATTTTCTTTTGTTAATATTTTCGTTAGTTGTTATCAATACTCACAGAGGATTAAAAATACCCGTTCAGAAGGTAACTGTTGGGATGGTTTTTTAGATGCTACAAAATGTAAGTGGATATAAAGATAGGAATGTCTCGGCATCACGAGTGAAATCTGTCTATAATGTATGAAAGTCTGAAATTCAATTCCCGCGAGGCGTTTATCACTAGGTCACACGTGGAGGTGAATTCATATTACATTCATTAGAATTTCATACTAGGTTCAGGCTAGGTTCGGTTAGGTGCATTAGGTTCAGTTTTTTTTAGATGCCGAATTTATTTCCTGTTGCTCTAGCCTACGGTGACGCAGCATGGTAGATAGTACACCATTGAAACTGGCAGTCTTTTTCTTGGCGCTACCTTTCGGGGTGGCTTCACCAATACGGCGCACTGGGAGGCGGGGAGAAGACATCTCGTCCATAAAATCGAAGTTGTCTTTTTCCTCAGGTTGTGCTAAATCACTGGAAGAATAATAATATATTATTTTCCATAAGGAATCATTTGACATAATCAAATTTTAACATAATCATTATCAATTTAGTCATTATGTTATCACACATTAATAGGCTACCGACGTGACATTGTAAGTTTTGCTTTGATGAAAATAGCGATCGAGCGACTCTTAATATATATCTTCCACTTTTGAAAAATATAGTGTAACGATTTTGAATGCCTGTGTTAGGCTTATCTTGCATTGTAATATAATACAGTATACTCTAGATAGGTGTACGTATTTTTGAAATTAGAATTGTATTACTATCGTGAGTTATTTTGCTTCCGAACAGAAGCTTTGAAAATGCAATTTTTTTCGATTCTCTAATTTTGCTTGGACATGATTCACGTCTAGATATGATGTTTTTTAGACGATGTCTGTATGTGGGACATTCCATGTGAGCTCAGCCACCCCGGATTTTTTTTTTGTCTGGAAAAAATCATTTGATTGTTGCATTTCGAACTACTATATATAGATAGTATTGTTGCCAAATTTCATTGCTCTATCATTCGTTGTTTCTGAGATAATGGTTACAAAACTTGAAATTTTCAAAAATCCATAACTTTTGAATGGCACATCCGATTCGAACGAATAAAAGAAGAAATTTTTTGTTTTTCTTTGTACTACTAACGAAAAAAATACTCCCGATACATGAATGAGCTTCTACACTGATTTTTCAAGACATTTTTACGTTTTTATTCTTTTTCTTTGCTATGGCCGTCCGATATTTGATCGAACTATTTTTTTTTATAGAAGACATCCACATATGATATAAAAAAATACGCGATCATGGAGATAAGAGATAACGAGTGCGCTAGAAAAAAAATTTTTGAAATTTTTGTGTTTTTTTGCCTTCTAGGGAAGCTACCTTGTTTTTACCAAGAAATTAGTGTACCAATCAATATTTTTAGTCAATATATGATAAAAATACACCATCACAGAAGAAAGAAACGGTGTGTCGCAATTTTTTTTTTAATTTTTGCATTTTTTCGCTTTCTAGGTGAGCTGTACTGTTTCTACCAAAAAATTGATGTGTCAATCCATATTTTCTGTTCATATGTAATGAGGAAAAACACGCCATCATGGAAGAGACGAGCATTGCACCGGAAAATTTTGATTTCTGTGCGATTTTCTTGTTCTTCTGTCTTTCAGGATAGGTGCATTGTCTTTATCAAGAAGTATTCCGTCAATCTTTTTTTATCATTCTCTCAGCGAAAACAGAATGTTGGCAATACTATAGATGTTCTGCCAAAACGCAAAGCTTAGATAGTTGAGTTGAACATGATCATGATCGGAACTTTGCCAAATCATGACCAAACAAATGAGAAAAGAAAACGAAGAGGATCGATTCATTGATTTAACATCATCCGTCGATTCTAAGGCTCCAGTTTTAGCCAAACATCTAACTGCTCCATTGCATTTTTATGATCATACGATTCCCTGCGAATTGATGAGCATTTCCCTATCTTATCCTTCTATCGAGGTGAGTCTTCACGTTACTGATTGGAATAAGCCTCATTTTTCGGATTGATATTCTCGGATTTCATAGAATGCCGTGGAGTGATAGGTGTGCGAATCCAATGCGTGCTCCTGATGAGAAGGGACACATGGGTCTTAATTTACGTCCGATTTCCTCGGCAATAGGAATAGTGCACTCTGATTTTTCAGAAAATTACGCTTTTGTGGCTCAACATGCTACTCAATCCTTCCACTACAATAATGACCAGTGTACGGTCAGTAGTATAGCTAGGCCGGTTCTGGATCAAAGCTCCTCACCGCCACCAGGCGGCGCCACTGTCGCGGAATTTTCTAGACGAATGGCGTCGTCGATGAGTCACCTCATCAACTCGGGGGCGTGGTGGGGGTACTTCCTGAGTCCTGTTGGGACTTGTATGGAATATGATACTAGTGGCGGCACTACCGTCATGGAATTTTCTAGACGGATGACTCATCGACTCGCGTGGTGGGGGAATCCCTCTAAGATCTGTTAGGACTTGTATGATGACATGTTGAAACTTGCATGAAATCGGTTATTGGCGCCACCGTCGCGGAACGTTCGAGAAGGATGACGTCATCGACTCGCGTGGTGGGGAAATCCCTCTAAGACCTGTTGGGACTTGTATGATGACATATTGAAACTTGCATGAAATCGGATATTGGCGCCGCCGTCGCGGAACGTTCGAGAAGGATGACGTCATCGATGACTCATCGACTCGCGTGGTGGGGAAATCCCTCTAAGACCTGTTGGGACTTGTATGATGACATATTGAAACTTGCATGAAATCGGATATTGGCGCCGCCGTCGCGGAACGTTCGAGAAGGATGACGTCATCGACTCGCGTGGTGGGGAAATCCCTCTAAGACCTGTTGGGACTTGTATGATGACATATTGAAACTTGCATGAAATCGGATATTGGCGCCACCGTCGCGGAACGTTCGAGAAGGATGACGTCATCGATGACTCATCGACTCGCGTGGTGGGGAAACCGTTCTGTTGGGACTTGTATGAAATATACTGACCTGTTAAAACTTGCATGAAATCGGATATTGGCGCCACAAGCTGTGGAAGGTTCGGGACGGATGACATCATCGATAAGTTATCGACTTGCATGGTGGGGAACCGTCGTGGTGGGACTTGTATGCAATATGAAAACCTGTGGATGCATGGATAAAATTGCATATTGCCCCCACAATCGCGGAAATTTCGAGATGAATGATGTTATCGATGAGTCATCGACTTGCACGTTGGGGGAACTCCCCGTAAGTCCTAAACATGTGCAAACATTTAACAACATTTGCAAACATTGGAGAACATTTGCAAATGTATGCAAACATATGTAAACAATTGCAAACATTTGCAAACATTTTGCAAACATTGGAAAACATTCTGCAAACATTTGCAAATATTGGTGAACATTTATAAACATATGCAAACACGTGCAAATATGTGAAAACAATGGTCGAATATTTTCAAGATGAATGATATCGCTGAGTCACTCAGACCGATAACTGATCGATGTGCAAGGTGGGGGTTTCCCGTAAGTCCTGCTGAGACTTGTACATTCGAGAAAGATGACGTCATCGATGACTCATCGCGCGGTGGGCGATATCCCATGTTTCCTGTTAGGATTTGAATGAAATATATTGACCGATCGAAACTCGCATATGGTAATGAGTCATTGCTGTCTTGGAATAAAAATTATGTCATACTTGTTTGCGAATATTCGAGAATGTTCCATGATGGTTTAAATCGGGGTGGGGTAAGGGGGGTGAGTTGCTATAAAATCAACCGACTCCACTGGATTCAGCTTCAAACCCAAAATTGATTTGCTACCATCACGATCTGCGGTTTTAGTGTGTTATTATAATGTTGATGTTGGATGTTGAAGGTTTTCAACACCCAACTCAGAAATTTATTGTAAAAAAACTGGCAGTTCAAGCAGTTGAAAAAATGAGTGTGCTTGTCTGCTTTTCCAACCCCCATATGGATGGAATAAAATATCAGCAAAATACCAGAGAACCAATGAATGGATTATTAATAATCACCATGGAATCGCATGGGAAACTGGATCCATACCATATGATGAGGTTCAAGATACGATTACACAAATTACAGAAAGAGTAACAATTATCTTCGTGAATGGATTGCAAAAGAAACAACAATCTTACAATAACGTTACAATCTTACAGTGATAAAATGATAATCGACTTGAATGATTTGGGGTGCTCAAAGGCAAAAGATATAATTACCCGCAGATGTTGGAATCACCGGGAGCACAGTCTCATTGAGAATTACACTTGTACATTCGAAAATTGTAAGAAGTTGATGAAATGGTACACGAAGTACTTCGATTCGACTTTTTCATTCAATCACTGCCGTCTTCGATTGGATACGGGATATGCAAATGCTGCCAACAGATTCTACACATTTTCTGAAGAGATTTCTCTTGAAATTTGCATGGCAACACATTGACAAATTATGGGAGACGCTGACGGAGAGGTTGAAAAATATGAGCGAAATTAACGAGTACCGCCGATGTTATCAACATCATCCAACTTCGATTCATGGAGGAGACGTTGTGGATGGACCTATACCACTCGTAAAGAATTGTCTCGTTTGTCAATTATAAGATTGGATAATTTTTTCATAATAATTAGAAATGATTATTGATACCTTTATATTCCATACAATGTTTAATATGTATTCGTGAACAAAATAAAAAATAAATGAATAGTAAAAAATAAGATGAACTCGCCTTTATATTTTTTAACTTTTTAAAATTGATGTGGAAAAAATCTAATGGGGTTTGCACCCGCAATTCAAATACACGCCTGGAAGACTGTGATGTTTTCCATGTTTTCCCCACAAGAGTATTCATCATCATAATGATTATTTTATCATTATAAGATCAAGAATATAATGGATGCTTATTTTCATCACTGGACAGAGGGATAATTTGATGGGGAGGATTTAAATCGAAGAATAAATGATTCAAACAGAGAACAACATGAGATTTCGTTATAGGAATTTATTGACATTGATTATCTTTATAATTGCTCGTCAATTTAAGGTGTGGCGATACAAAAACTCATTTAGTTTGATTGATTCTCGCTTCAGATTTCGATGAAGTTGAAGAGCGTCCCCTTACCAAGATATTTGAGTTTGATTTTCTTCTCTGAAACAGCATTCTGCAACTTCTCATAGAGAGCCTCATCACTCAGGATCACTTTCACTACCCGCTCTGGTAAGAAGACTGTGAACTTGTCAGCGATGGTGATGACGATGGTTGGTCCGAACTTGGTTGGCACTTTCCTGACAGCTGTGATGGAATACACAATGTTAGGGTCCAACTCAGTCATCTTCTTCGTTGGCAAGTAACTCTTGCATGCAACGTCGTTAATTGAAGAGAAATCCATTATATCAGTATAACTGAAACAATCAAGCAGAATGGTATTAGTATCATGATT